GGCTGGTTGTGAGAAATATGATATAAAGTGCAATAATTTCTTACCCAAGTTTCGTTCTGAGCTTTTGAAATTCCACTAATCCAGAATGTAAAGGTAATCCTTCCTCAGTGGCCTGAAGCATTAGTCTGATATCTTCGTAAGTGTGGTCTGTTACGGGTACGTTGAGGGCCCTAAAAGTTAAAGTAGAAATTACTAAAAATGATACAAGGCCCTAGAATTAGATGTCTTGAATAAAATTTAGGGATTAAAATAAATAGTATAAGGCCCTGGAACATGTCTCAAATAAAATAGTATAAGGCCCTGGAACATGTCTCAAATAAAAGTCAAGGATTACCTAAATATGGCATGAGGCCCTGGAACATGTCTTTTGAATTGTAGGTTAGAATTTTGTTCAATAATCATGTAATATGTATACACACTGGAGAAATTACCAGAAAATTACTAATAGTAGGTAGTAAGATCAATACGATTCATCATTTGGATAAAAAAGGCCCCTTTTCCTTTCCTTCTTAGTACAAGTGAAATATACATACTTTGCCATGACAGCTCGTACGTTTCTAGCATAAAGCTTAGGATCGTTGATTTCTTCTTCGCTTGGATGATAAACTGGTAGAAACTCCACTTCAACTTGATTATTGAAATTACACAGTGTAAGCCACAGTATTGTGTAACTGCAGAATTAAAGAGAGTTGTTTGGAAAACATTAAAGTCAAGAGTTTTTGTTTACCCAAATATTTATGCCCATGGCCTGAAAAATACATCTTTAAATAAACATGAAAAAAATCCCTGTCATTGTGCGTGTGTGGGTACTTCATTATTTATTTAATTTGAGGGCCATTATCAAATTGTCAATATTTCCAAAAAACAAAAACAATTTTATGCAACCCCACTTGGAGTTGGTAGACATACTATAAAAGTATGTTTCTTTAAACTATAATATAATAATAATGTGCAAGGAGTGGACGGATATTGGCTGGTATCTAGTGTAGGCTTCAACGATCCTACATTTTTAAAACAGGATTTAATTTATAAAAAATACCATATGTATTCCACTAGGATGCATGATGTGTATATGAGCTTTGATCAGTCCACGAATGAACAAGATACAGGTGCAGACATGTACAATAGTGAGTCTCTTTTTTAGGATATAATATGAACATACTTGCGTATAAACACTAGTACATTTCACTCAGCCAATCACTGCCCTTTTGTTTCTGACCAATCAGTTTGCATCTCTTCATCCAATCAGAGCATTTTTGACAAATAACTCAGCCTAACTTCGTGTTTTAGGCATCAGATTTTTTTTATCACACTTTGATGCATGTTTTTACTATCAGTAGTTGTAGCCGCGCCAACTCTCAAAAAAGAATAAATGCTGCAAAATTGTCTGAAAGTGAGAATTGCACTTACGCTCCTGGTCCCTCCCATGTCCATGTGACAGTGTCTGGGAATATATGGTATCTTATAACCGCTGGCTGTACAGCTACACCTGGGTAAAACGCACCTGCAAACAAATGCACATACAATCAAACCTGTGAATATCGACTACCCAAGGGACTTCATTAAAATGGTCCTGTAGACATGAAACACCCATGCACCAAGTTTCATTAAAATCTGAATATTGGTTTTTGTACGTTGATATCAGTGATTGCCACCAGAATTGTGTCCCAATCGGAGGCGCAGGCCGAGTGAAACAGTGAAATGACGGGGACGTACAATAAACAAAGTTTAGCAGTATGTAACGCAACACTGTCAAACTGTGATGATACGCATGTTATGCTTTGTCAAAAACGGTTAATATAATCTAACGTACGTACCTCCTTTGAATCCTATGAGACAACTTCTATTGGTGCACGTCCCCTCGGGAAATATGATAATTTGTGGCCATTTGCCACCAGACTGTGCCCGACGCTTAATTTCCTTTATTGTTTTTTGTCTAGATTCTGGATCATTTCTGGACACAAAAACTGGCTGTAGCACAGAAACTAAACCTGATATGGAAAGGATTGTATTAAACACTATCATCTCCACATATCTATCCATTGAAGTTTTACTGTAAATGTACAACTCTTGATCTTAAAGTGCCACGAACTTTGCAACACGTCATATCCAACATGGGGAATACAACGTGTGTGAAAAAAACATTACAAAAATGTCACTGGTATCTCACTTCTTCCTCTGCTCCAGCAAAACTCAGTAAACTTAGGATAATTAAGTTAATTAAGTATGCTAATTTTTATGAGTGGACAGCCTAGCTAATACACTAATAAATGAATGAATAAATGAATAAATGAACATGCTATTCAAGGCTATACTCAATGACCATAGAACTATAAATTGCATATGATTTTGTGTGGTTTATTTTGGCTGAAATTAGTAAAATATATTTGAGACGTTTTTCATTTAATTTTTCACTGTACTCAAATTGATGTCTCTTTTACTACCTAAAAATATGAACACAAATTTGAGACAGTAATTGGGGATAAATGAATGTGCAATGTACAATTAGGATTCAGTAGCCAAGAGTGTCATTTCATAGTGATATAACAGCACTATAATTCAACTTGACCCATTCGTCTAACTGTATTCAGTTTAGACACAGTCAAGTTTGCAATTACAAATGTTTCAAATATTAAATCATGCATTTTATATAAGATTTAACGGTATGCATTTTTCTCCATGGAAGTCGTGTTCAGTTTGGTACAGCAAGGTCAAGATTTAAAAAAAAAATGTTATTCTTGTTGTGGCCAAACATGGAGGCAATTCTCAGATGTTCCATATTTCCATTGTTACTTTAATATGTGCATTACGGCAAACATTCAATAGTTGTATGTACATTAGCATCTGTAGTTGTTTTTATAAAACAATAACGTTTCATTGAAATTATATTATGGTGAGTATGTGTGCACTGTTCAAATCCATCCACGGTATGAATCCGACCAATCGGATGTGTCAAGTATATGAATGAGTGTGTGTAAATGCGAGGTGCGTCAGATACGTACGATCTGTTGACAGAGGTTTTCAATTAACATATGAATAGAAGATGTCCAAGAGGGTGCTGTTCCCTTGAACAGAACAGTCTGATATAAGGAAGTGGGATACCAGTGGCGAAGTTGTAATGTGTGGCATTTTAAATTCTAGTTCTGATATGATAATTGCCAGAATGGAATCAAATTCAAGATCAGGCAAACTATGAAAATCATAGATTAATCTATTTATGTTAAAACCAATTTCATACTCCCCCCCCCCACATTGTATGTGTTTAAGGAGTTCTAGCAAAACAGGAATTAGGGATTTCCTATCAAATACAGTAATTTCTGTTTTTAAAACAAGCATAACCTAAAACAGCAGTTCAATCAAATATTGTCACTAGGGGGCGCTGCTTAAGGCAAACCGCTTGTGAAAAGCAGAAAGCAGCATGTTAATTTAGTGAAGTAACTGCCCGTTAAATACATGTGTGGAGTTTATATGAAATGGTTTTGTTTACAGAAATACAATAAAACCTGTCCAAATCAAACAACAAAAATACTCGAAAAATTGCTAGATTCATAAAACTTAATTCTCGACCACGAACAATTTCCAGCTTCCCTGTAAGACTTTGGAACGTTAATGTACCTAAGAAAGGCAGGGTGAAGCATACAAATTAAACTTGAGTTGCAAATTTACTTCATCCTGCACTAATAACTTGTATTAAAATTTTAACGAAAAGGACACTTTATTCAGGAATGTCACAGTCTGAAGTGAACTCAAATTCAGCAAGAAAATCATCACAGACATTTCAATGTTCAGTTGTTTGCTGTACGAATCCACGATTCCAGTCGGTCGAGAATAGAGTTTTGTTATGTAAACAAGTCCAGGAAATTGAACTTCTTCACAAAAGTATCATGTTTTAAAAAGAAGTTAATGTACGGAAAAAATTAAAAGGAGTTAAAATGTTAACTGGGTTTCATTTTATTGTTTTGATGTTTGGAATTTTAAATTTACATTCTTATCAATATTTAACTTTACATTCTCTTCATTCCAAGTTCACCAATTACAAAAACTGAAACCCAGTCAATTCTCAACATTACATACCGGTATGACGAAAGATAAATTATTATAATCCAGAAAAATGGACTTTAATGTTAATTTGAGTCACTATTATTAATAACAGTTTTAAAAATAAACAAGAACACTTTTCTTGAAATCGTCATGTCTGCTTTATTTTGTTGAAAGCCATTAACATATGAAGTACCTTGAGCCATAAACCAAATACAAAAGTTACATCGTTCATGAGTTATTCGTGACGAATCTTGAAGCTTTCTGATCAACTCTATCACAAGCATGGAAAAAGTCGGTAATTTTTTCACTATTTGTGAAAAAAAAAAGATTTTAATAATATTTGCAAACAGTGTAACCATTAGATTTGATTTCTTTATACATGTAAATGAGCTACCAACAAAATAAAAAAAGACAAAACCACTCTAACACCTACTTCCAAATATAGGCGTCTGTTTATTGCCTTCTTTAGATACAGCGCCGGGTAAACCCGCGATAAACCAGCAGAGACTATCAAAATAAGAACTGTGTGGGGCGATGGCCAGAAGAGGAGCCTCTGCGGACGATGCCTGTTTGCCCTTTATAGTGACGTAATGAAATCCCGCTAGAAAGAGCTGAAAGCGACCAATGTGGACTAAAGGTGACTTGACAACCCTAGTTAGGAGATACATGGAAAAAGGCATGCAGTATGCAGTAATTGTGTTGATCTACAAAGAAAAGATGGACATGCATGGTGTGAATGTGAGAAGAAGTTTCTGAACTTTGCTGGCAATTTGCAAAATCACTCTCTAAACAATTACATGTAATCAACCTTGATCAAAATTTGACACAGTTTTGTTTAAAATGACTGCAGTCTTTCTGTTAACACATAATCTTGCATATTTTACGCATTTTTAATCTTGATTATGCAAAATATTTCACAGCTGTGGGTGCACTAGCAAAACAGAAATTCCTGTTTCCATATAAATATCAAAATCTGGTTATTTCCATTTTTTTTAAATCTGAAGAAAGACGGGTCAAGAAATGTTGAAGTGATTTCTTTCCTTTTATCATCTTTTATTTTTAATGCAATTGTCAACTTTTGTCACATGCTTCCTACTACTTTTTGATCATGTTTTCACCAGTGATTTCTGTCTGATGGCAAATACTGTCATATTATAAAATATTTATACCTGTATATTTCCCGCCATGTATCGGTACACATAATTCCGCTACAAATGCCACATGCTGGCTGGTCTAAACAAATCTATTTAACTCCTTGAGCGTCATATTCACCTTTCACAAAACCCACATCATTTTTGGTGATATTTTTTTTCATGAATTTTAATCAACCCTTGTAGTCGATGAGAAATTATGTCTATTTGGTAAAAAATTATCACAAAAATTTAGTTGTTTATAGTTATTTTCAATACATAAATATCTAGTCCAAGAAATATTATGAGAAGTATTTCAGGTACAATGTTCATTCTAAAGCGATATAAAGTAGACGTAACAGTGCATTAGAAAGTTACATCATGCAGAAGATGTGAAATACTACCGGTAGTCAATTTGTTTGACCACAAACAATAGTGATTTGGAACCAACATCCACCACGGCATGTCCGCACAATGGCCAATTATGACACAGTTTTCATGGCGTCAAATAATCGATATTCTGTGTGATCTTCAACAGCCAAAAAAATAAATTCAAATGAAAAAAAATGCTAGCCAACCAGCTTTAAATAATTTAACTAATTAATTTCTACTTGAGTTTCATACAAGCCAAGCAAAAATGAATGAGCAATCATACATCATACGCTTCGGGATTGTCGAACAACACCTTCATTGTATAATGTACATTATTTTGTTAATAACTTTCTTTAATGATATAGATATATTTCCCAATGAGCACCAAATACTATAAGATATGAAATAGACACCATATGTTTCCCAATGAACACCAGAAATACAACACAACTTGTGTTATGATCTATATTTTGGCTCAATTTCGTTATTTTTGAATAAAATATTTCATTTCCTAGGGTCATTCCTAGCATGTACAATAAAATATAAATAGTGCCTTTCAAAAAGGAACAAAGTGATAACTATAAATTTGCAATGAAGAAACTAATTTCCATTTAATGATGCTTTTAAATATAGAAGAAGAACCCAGACATTACTGCAACTTACTTGATCTCTTGGTTGATATACATGTACAATTGATATGATATATTATCCAAGTTAAACTATAGCAGTAACATAGTGCTGTCGACTGACAAGCACGTGTGAGAAGCCTTACTATACAAGTTCATTACACAACTTGTGAAAAGGACAAACAGGCATCCAGAGAACAAAAATGAAATCATACCTTCGTTCTCAATGATAGTTTAAATCTTTGTAATAAAACTAAATAAGGTAAAATAATTATTTTTTTGTATAACAATTATTAATTATAGTAAACTAGTTGAATAATTTCCAATATACGCAAATGAGACTTCTATATACAAATCAAAGTTATCCTGGAGAAAGTCATATGCAAAAAAGGAAAATGCATATGCAAATAAGGAAAATGCATATGCAAATGAGAGAAATGCATATCCAAATAAGGAAAATGCATATCCAAATAAGGGAATGCATAGGCAAATGAGAGAAATGCATATTCAAATGAGTGAAATGCATATGCAAGTAGAAAAATGCATATGCAAATAAGAAGTCTAAATCTAAATAAGGGTAATGGACATAAAAACATATCCATATGTAAATTATGAAGTAAGAAAAGGAGAATTAGTAATTTGAGAAAAAAACATGCACATACTTCCAATAAAAGGTGTATCAGCTGTTTCCACCCTTCCAACACCACTACAAACTTTGAATGCCACAAGGACCACAAGAGGATCACAATAAGAAGAATGTGGAGCAATAACCGCCATAGGCGCCTCTTGCGACGAGGCACGTGTACCCTTGATAGTGACCCAGTGAATTCCACTTACAAAGAATGAAGCTCGGAGGATGTAATAGAACGGGTGTTCCTTCATCCATCTTATCGGTAGTAACCGAAAATGAGAGGAGAGAGAGAAAATTAAGATCAACAAACATTTTTTGAGTGTTCAATACACTCCATGCATTCTGACACTGATGACATTCCAAGGCAATGCGAGTCACAAATGTATGGGTGCAATATACGTGCATATGTACACACTAAGCGTTGAGATAATCAGAAGATTACGAGTAAGATCTGAGATAATCAGAAGATTACTCTTATACAGAGAATACTAATATTAGTAAAATGATCATTTAGGAGAATGTAATGAAATCCGTCCATTAACTGTGACTATGACATTGAACTTATACACCCTTAAAAAAACAGCTGGTGTTAAAATTATTATTTTTAATTATTTGCTTTTGATAAATTTTCATGGTTCTGGTGCACATATGAGATTTGGATCTTTTTAGAATTTTAAACTCCAAAGAAATACAGGATTGGTAAAAAAGAGAATCTCATGTCAGTAAACAAACATAAAACACAAAAACATAAAGGCATTAACACCAGAACCGTGAAAGAGATCTTCTAGGCACTATATAAATCCTTGGCTCTTAAAAAAACATACTTCCAATTATTGGAACTGATCGCATTTCTAATTTCGACACCGCCGATGGCATTCCTAAGCCAGAAACAACGGCAGAGTCAAAATAGCTGGAGTGTGGTGCAACGACCAAGAGGGTGACCTCCTCTCTAGATGCCCTTTGACCTTTGACAGCAACTCTGAATCCAGCAAACAAGCGTCCGAGGCAACAAACAGATACGTAGGGTTTATGAAGCTTCCTAAAGATGGTGATAAGAACAAGGTGCTGGTCAGCCTGGGTTAGTAGGCGAGTTAAACGACTATGTTAACAGCAGCAGGTAAATTATTATATGCAAATTAAACAATGTGAAAAGCAAGAAGGCATCGCTGCAATATGGAGCAAATGTCTAAATTGAATGCATTAATAATAATGCAGAACTAAAATAAGGAAGAGAGATAAACTAGTTAGACGCAGTTAAGTGAACATCGCAAATATATATATACGGGGGGGGGGGGGGGGGTATACATGTATATACATAACTTCAGTCCAGACTCAAGACGTAGCTTCAAAGTGAGGAATTACTTGTACTTGGTACGTAGGTGAAAACGCAGTATTAAAGCTGTACACTGTGGGTTGGTAATGAAATCAGTTCAAGCTTCTAACAAGATCTCGCAAGAAGCGCGTCTTGTCTATTCTAAATCATGTGACAAAAGACACTTAAATGGCAGCACTGTCATAGTTCAAAGTAAGTATATCCAGAATAATATCACACATGTAAACCATGAGTGAATTGAAAATAATGTTTTATACAGTATTTCTATCATTTAAATAAATAAATAATTACAAAACATGGATATACTTTAGAATGAAAAATATGACATGTGGACAGTTTATTTGCCATGATCTCACAAAATGCTGGAAGTGGCTATCTTGTATTATCATAAAGAGATTTGTTGCATATGACTTATTTACCACTTCCGTGTCACTGAGAATGTTCTAGAACCGTACTGTGTCTGGGTGGAATATTCTAGATTTTTTTTAGAAACTAGTTGAATAGGTAATAGAACACTGTAGGAGGCAATAGAAGGTAATGGAACATTCTAGAAATTTATAGAAAATTC